ACTCTTAGACTCCAGTAGGTGAGGAATGTGTTCCAGTGTTTGTCTCATAGGGAGGAGGGCAGACAGGGTTACCCAGAATGCGGTTGCTTGTAGAAGAACGGAGAAAGAGTAACTGCCACTCAGATTTCCTGCGGTACGTGAACGGACTGTTGTGCAGATGAATCCCTTGCTCAGTGTGAATGTCATTGTTCCCTCAGCATGGGCGGTTCTAGACAGGGGCCAACAGGGGCCAGGGCCCCTGTAGATAATGTCCTGGCCCCTATTATGGCCCCTGTACTGAAAACATAATACTCAAAGAATTTCTAAAGATGATCTGCCCTGCAACAAGCATGGTTACTGAAAGGTCCTTTACATCTATTTCATTTTTTTTCTTTACAAATTGTATTTTATTAAATATAAAAAAAAAATAAGGTGATGGCTTCAGTGGTATTGAGATATGATCCCAGTTTTCATCTGCTAAATGTTTTTTTCAAAACAATTACAGCTGAATTTAACAGTTTTTCTTAAACTCTGATTCAAATTTTACAGAAAACTGTAATTTCAACTTAAATTAAGTCTTAAATATGTAAAATCTGAATGTATATTCACCTAAAAAGACATTTAGAATTTTAATGAAACTTAATTAAAGAGAAGTCTCACTTTATGCAGCTATCCTGCTTTTCATTTCATGCTCCTCTGTGCCCCCGTGAAAACACGCTGGCCCCCTCCTGGCCCCCCTGGTACATTTGGTCTAGAACCGCCACTGTCCCTCAGGGAAAAGTGGATCCAAACCTCCGGTTTGTTTCCTCAGCTCAGTTTGAAGCTCAGTTGATCCCTCCAGGGAGAGAAGGTCCGAAAAACCCAGTTTGCAGGATGATTTTCTGCCGAGAGGCAAAGACAAAAATAACAACGTTAAGAATCAGGTTGACAAAAACTCAGTTTGACTCAGCAAAACTGGCTAGAGTACCCAAAACTGGCAAACACTCTGGCGTCGAGGTAGTGGCAGTCAGCAGCTTAAGAACACTCCGTTAACGAGGTAACCCGTTGCAGGTGTGTGAGGAAGAGAATCAGAACCAGGCGCCGCCTGGTGGAGGAAGGAAGACAAACACACAAACACACAGACTAGAGTCCTAACAATAATGAGCTTTATTCGTTTTTTCCATATTGGATTTTGTGCACAAAATGGGAAAATGGCTGATTATCTACTATTTGTTTTGGAAACAAATAGTAAGAAAACAAGTGTATTTTTGCATTTTTAATTTTTGGTTTTAATTTGAATAACGAAGGAACGAAGGAACGAATGATACACAGATATTTAAGAGCATGAAATACAATCTGGCATCCTGAACATCCATGTTTTTAGGATTAAGCTCCTTCTCCAAACCAGAAACAGGATCTCTACAGAAACCTGCATCCGCCTGCATGTCATTTCTCCCAGAATTCAAAGCGAACCTCTGCTTCTCTGTTTCCCCTCAGGATCTCGTCCCAGGCTGGAGGACGCCGCTCCTCGGATCATCGAGCATCCATCTGACCTGATCGTGTCCAAAGGAGAACCGGCCACTCTGAACTGTAAGGCCGAGGGGCGGCCCACGCCCACGGTGGAGTGGTACAAAGATGGCGAGCGCGTGGAGACGGACCGGGAGGACCCTCGATCCCACCGCATGCTGCTGCCCAGCGGGTCGCTCTTCTTCCTGCGAATCGTGCACGGCAGGAGGAGCAAACCGGACGAAGGCGTTTACGTGTGCGTGGCGCGCAACTACCTGGGCGAAGCCGTCAGTCGCAACGCGTCGCTGGAGGTGGCAAGTGAGTGATGGAGGAGCTTAGCTGCTGGGCTGAGAGCGTCAGCAGGAGAAAAGACTATGGATTAAGGATGAGTATCGACCCAAAGCCTCCATATTCTGGTTTCACGCTGTGCAGGCTGCTCTGATTCCCAGACCAGAAAAATCTCCCAGAGTGAGGAGGAAGAATGGAGGGAAGGTCTGCTAGAGTGAGGGAAAGATAAGGTGGAGAGCTGCTCCATACAGGGTGTCAAATATCCGGAGGCGTTTGCAGTAAGAAAGGATTGAAATCACACATCTGGTTCCCAGGTGATGATGTGACGCTGTTACTCTGCGGCCCGCCGTCACTCTGCGGCCCGCCGTCACTCTGCGGCCCGCCGTCACGATGCGGCCCGCCGTCACGATGCGGCCCGCCGTCACTCTGCGGCCCGCCGTCACGATGCGGCCCGCCGTCACGATGCGGCCCGCCGTCACGGCTGTCTGGTTGGAGGCCGAGTCTGAAGACCTGGTTCCGTCTCTGTTTTGGGTTGGTCTCCAGCCATTAATGCAGATAAGCCCCCCTACCCTTCTACAGACACTCTGGTGTACCTCCCCAAAATTGTAGGTGACCTCAGACAGGAGGCCTGTGATTGGTCAATTTCAGTTCCCCAATCTCCAGTAGTCAGCCATGATGTTTTCCCACATGGCTGGTGTGGGTAGTGGCAGAAACTCTGGCTGTCGTGCCGTCCACAACGCCTGGAACACCTCGGACACTATCCCAGACACCGCGCAGGACGCTGGTTTGTAGCTCTGTGCGACGGTCTGTTCACGGCCGGTCTTTGGGGATCACTGAACTGTGTGTAACCCTGAAGACACGCTGTCAACACACTTCAAAATCGGCATCAATCAAAAATATCAGCCTCATATCTAGCTGCCACACTCCTGAAGGAGGATAACCAGACCTTAAGTCCATCAGCAGCTCTGTCTGCTGTTACCGGCTGCTGGGGGGGGGGGGTAACCTTTAGGAGCTTTTATGGATGTTTCTGGGGAGGAGGAGCACTTCGCCCCCTGGATCAGGAGGGCAGCTGTCCTCCTAAGCAGGTGAGGGGGGGGATATGGTCCGGTCCAACTTTTCCAGACTGACAGAAACAGCTGAACATGGCTGCCATCAATCCCCCCCCATTCGTTGGATGGATGTTAAGCTCCTCAGACTGGAAACCAGCAGCAGCTCTTGCACGCCCACCATCACCCAGTGTTTTGGGTGGAGGCCCCCGATGTTGTTGATCAGCTCTGTGTGGCCTTCACTGACCCATCGGATAATCCGGTTCTCCTCCTCACACTGTCTGCTGAGGCACACGTCCGAAAGTCAGTTCACGCCTCACTAATGGGATTCCAGGTCCTGGCCGTGTTACAGACGCAGCCAGTGGCCATCTTGGTTTTAGAAGGGGGGATCAGATGGTTGGGGAGACGCCCTCCCCCGTCGGCCATCCAGCCAGACGCACACGGGGCCGACTTCCCTCCAGAGGATCCAGGAATTAATCAGACCAAACAAAGGCCTCTGTGTGTGTGTGTGTGTTGGGTGGGGGGTGTGGGTGGGGGTATAGTGGGCTCTGAGACAAAGCTGTAGAATAGAGGGGGGGGTTTAACAACAGGTGGTGTGAAGAAGAGCATCCATTCTCTGTAACGACAGAGGAGCCAATCAGGAATCAGGGAAGGCCCCTGATTGGCTCCAACTGTCCAGTCATGCTCAGAAAGTTCTGGAGCTGAAAGTTCTCAGGAAGTCCAGTTCCCAGAATCAGGACCGTCTCCTGGGAGCCGAGGCTCTGGACGGACGGACGGGAGCAGAATGAGACGATCCGCTGCGTCAGAGAGGATCCGTTAGTTTGTTGGTTAAATGTCAGCTGTGTAGCGCCGCTGTGAGCTGGTTTGCATCGCTGCTGATCGTCTGCAGGACGCCACGCTCTGAGCCGCTCCTCTGAGGAACATTCAGCAGCTCACCATCCTGCTTCATCAGGCACATTTCAAATCATTGAAGAGTTCCTGAAGAGTCTGATACTGGGTTTTTAATGACCACTTTACATCTGGCATGCAGGGAAAATGACACTAAAGATGATAAGTTAGCATTTTAAAGCTTAAGTAGAGAAAATGGTTCATTTCAAACAGTGTCTGTTTGACGTCTCAGAGGCTCAGAGAGGAATGCAGCTCCGTGGTCAGGCTGTGTCTCTGCATCCCGATGAGGAGCTTCTATCCCTCCTGTCTGTTTGCTGCTGCATCCTTTCAAACAGGGAGGAGAACAATGAGCAGAGCAGCATCTTTCATTCAGCTCTGGTCGTCCTGCTCCGCCGACAGGAGCTGATGGCGTCTGATGGAGAGAAAACGCCATGAAGGCCTCAGCGCTGATATCCGGTCTTGATGGGATTCTCCGCGTCAGAATATCACCTTCGTAAAACTCATGAAACGTAATTCCTGCTTTGACTCATTCATCAGGTCTGTTACTGTTGGGATCCCAGAGGTTCCGAGTTCAAGCCCCACTCCCACAGACTGCCACTGTGGGTCCCTGAGCAAGACCCCTTACCTTCACACTGCTCCCCCGGGGATGGGTTAGATGTTCATTTCCCCACTGTGGGACCTTAAAGGGATTTACACATTTTTTTACAAACAGAAGTTCTGTTAGGAGCAGAAAACTGGTATCTATTCTGTCGTTAGCATAGCTAGCGTTGCTAAAACCGTGTATTCTTTATACGTTCCTCCCCAAACTCTGAGATTTCCAGAAGTTTCAGAGAGATCCATAACAGACAGTTCCAACAATCTGAGGGATAAAGAACAGCGATCTGACCGGAACACCTCGGCCTTCCTGTTATCCGCTGGATGTCTCACTCTCTCTCCGCGGGTTGTGGAGCCACAGCCGCCGCGGTTGTTAGGAGCCATCTTGCTGCTGTGTGTTTGTGATTGTCGACCGTCTCGCCGACTCTGAAGGTTTCTGGGTCGGGTTGTTAGAGTGACGCGTTTTCCTTCCCTTCTCTCCGTTCTTCAGGTGGATGTTAAGTGTTTGTGGAGCGAACCCTTCGTCTGTCAGGATGACGCATCACATTCTAACCAGCTGTTTGAGGCATTTCAGGTTTTACCGTTGTGTGAAATCACTATTGATTTCTGCTCCCATGTATTTGCACATGATTCATTCCTTCTTAAGATTCAATCTGGATGCAGACCCTCTGCGACGGGGGCTTGAGGCGTTCAGGTGGAGCTAAATGCAATTCTGCTCCAGGATCCGTCTGTTTCTGTAGTTTGTTGACCGGTGTGGAAAATTGGAAATGTTGCTTCTCTCTGTCTGGAGCTCCAGCGCTTCCCTCCTACTGAGAGAAAAGGCAGCTGTTCATTCAGCAACCAGCAGCCCTTTGAACCCAACTATTAACACAGGCTTTGGATTTCATCATTCTCCCCTAAACTCAGACTCTCCCTGTGTTTTCGGGGAGCATTCAGTGCGTCTGTGATTCCCTGATCAAGTGTTCCGGCTCCAAGCGGACCGTCTTCCTGCAGTACGAAGGCATGTTTGGCTTTCTGACTCCCAGAGGACAGAGGACCGGAGGTCAGCTGATGGACCGGCTCGTCTGCACACAAAGACGCTGATGTCAGAAGGACGTTTCACCTTCTTGACTCCGCAGCGGCGCAGAGCTGCAGGAAAAGTGGACGAGGTCAGGAAGCAAACAGTGAAACTGCTTCTGATGGAGAAAAATAAGAGGAAAGGTGCCTGTGTTCATTCAGGAACCAAAGGTTCTCATCCATTAAACAAGGAAGGAAGGAAGGAAGGAAGCAAGGAAGGAAGGAAGGAAGGAAGGAAGGAAGGAAGGAAGCAGATCTGGGTGGTCTGTCCTAGTCGGTCCTGCTCCTACTGGGAATAGACCTGATCTGTCCCTCTGGCTGAACTGGAAACACTTTGCAAAGCAGAATGACTTAAAGGTTAATGATGATACCTGACTTGAACTGTTGCATTGTGGGAGTGGGATTGCAGCCGGTGGTCCCTGCCACCCGCCCCGTGTGGTGGTCAATCATTAACCCCCGCTGGCTGGGGGCAGCCATTGTCCGTCCAGTTCCACCCGAGGAGTGGAAAGTGTTCCTGGTTTCCAGATGGGTGAGCTACAGTAGAGCTGGGGGGGGGCACAGAGGTAGGGGTGACAGGACAGGGTCCTGGGGGTGAGGGCTTGATTTGCCTTACAATGGGCCCCTTAGCAATTCGAGGTGACCCTGTTGCCACGCGGCCAAAGGCTGCACCCCATCAGCCATTACTAGATTAAAGTAATCCTCTTTTCAGGCTCAGACAATTGCTTTATTAGCCGACCACACACAGGAGCTCCAGCCATTGTTGTGGGGACCCTAAGGGTCCCATGCTGGGAGTTACTGGGCAGAGGAAGGTGAAGGGTTGTGGGTTCAGCGCCTTTCCCAGCTTTCAGACCAGCTGTGTGCTTCTCTGCCTCCAAAGCAGGAAGAATATTGCTCAGTTAACAGGCAACAGGTTAAAAACTCCTCCCTTCCTCACCTTCTGACGGCCTTCAGGAGCTGTTTTCCTTTGCTGTTCGCTCAGTCAGGCCTAAATACCTCCGTCTGATATTTTATTCATGCTTTTGAGAAGCAGCTCTGGGAGGATTGTGACCCGGCCCTTATGTTTCAGGAGGAAGGGCAGGAATACAATCCCTGATATAGAAGAACCAATGCAACATAATCAGTCCCCTCCTCCTTCATCATCAAAGGAATGAATCCATAAAGAGATAAATAGGTAGCGTCATGAAAGCCATGGATCTGACGGCCGCTCTCCTTGGCTGCACGCCTCCTTACGGATCGTTCGTCCTTGGCGGTCCCCAGCCTGCGCTCTCTATCATCTATTCAGATTAAGAGGCCGAGGGCAGAGAATAAATCACATTCAGCGCTTTTTGAAAATGTGATTTTATTGATCCGAGCTCAGAAAATGTTTTCTGTTTCTCCTCAATGGGTCTGAGGCTGCGGCCGTCATGGTCGGCCACTCAGCCTCCCATCAGAAACAAATCATCGTTT